AAGTCATACCGCGGCGCCCTTACGTCGAGAAACGAGGTTTCAAAACGAGGTTTGGTTTGGAACGCGGTTGAGAAGGGGAGGAAGGAAAGAAAGAAGCGTTATGCGTTTCTTCGGGAAAGGAAGGTTGAGAAAAGAAATTTGAATTTCGAAAAGAAAGTTTCGACACTTGGGATCGAGAGATGTTTTTTCTCGCGAATCGACCAAAGCGAAGAGTGGCGCGAAATTAAAAAAAAAAAAAAAAAAAGAAGAGAAACGTACAGCCAAGTGCTGATGTTCCCCCTTTTAATTAGTGCTCTCTCGGCCTATACGTGGCGTGGTATCCGTTTACAAAAGCAACGCGTCGAAACAGCAACCCGCTGATGATGAAGATCACGTCGTATGAAGAAGGAGGCGTCACGTCGACAGCCATCATTGCCATTAAACGCTTCAATACGCGGCGCCTCTGAAGCTCGTATTGTTGCCTCACCTGCGCCACAATACCGTGACGGAAAAAGGAATCGACGAATTTACGATTTTTTGTCGCGCTGCACCCCTTTGCGTATACTCGATACGGAAAGGATCGGCTGCGAGGACTCGAGGAATCCTCGAGGAGTGTTTCATTCAATAGTGGCCCCGAATGAGCACAAATCGCGCCCATCGACGATCGTGAAAAGAGAAATTAAAAGTTGAACCTAAGAAAGGAGAAGGAAAATGCGCTGTATAAATAAGGAGAGCAAAAAGAGAGAGAGAGAGAAACTATATATTAAAATTGCAGATAGACGATAATTGATTATACTTCTAACGTATACTTTTACTCTCCCTCCAGAATATTACACTTTTCGCGAGGTTAAGGATCGCGAAAAAACACGCGAGATAACGATTTCCGTTCGCGGCGAGAGCTAATTATTCCCTCCTCGAAGACACCCCGCATCTTCGCCTCCTTTCCAGCCTTCCTCTATCCCCTCTATCTCTCTTTTTATTATTTTTCTTTTTTTTTTTTTCGGTGGCAAAGGCAGCCTCTCGTAATTAGATGCTAATAATCAGCACCCTCCAGGAGGATCACGCTCTTTTCCTCACTCTCTTCCTCTCTCTCTCTCTCTCCTCTCTACGTCGCCCCGTCGTTGCAACGCGGGGCGCAAGAAAACCGGAGCCCCCTGAAGAGCTTATTATTATCCTAATTATACAATACTATAATGAATGACTGCGCGGCTCACCCTCCTAGCCCTTACTCTCACTATCTTCATCCTCACGGCTCTCCTTCTCTCTCCCTCTCACTCCGTTCCTCGCGATACCCCCTCCCTCTCGCTCCTTTTCCTTTCTTCTCTCGCTCACCGTTGCTCTTCTCCTCTGTGCACTTGGTGGCCGAAGAGTGGCAATTCTAGCACTCGGGCTTTTTTGTCAAACCGACTACGGAACTAGCGCCGTCTCCCTCGCTCCCTTACACCCTATTATGCGGCCAGCCTCGTCTCTCCTCCCTTCGTTCTCTCTCTCTCTCTCTGTCTCCTGGTGTCTGTTTTAATTAGGCACTTCGCGGAATATATATATATATGTATATACCGTATCTACCACGCGGTATCACGTAGATGTACATAAACCCGTGCCCGAGCCCGAGCCCGAGACCTAGCCCAGTCTGCCTACCGTACGTACACGTATCCCACCTATACTCGGCGATCCGACGAGCTTGAATGCGGTTGATGGGTGGTTGAGTAAGGATTATAGACGCAGGTGACACATACACGTTACCTCGGAGAGGCCTGAGGTTCGTAGGGGGTTGAGGGAGGGGGAGAGGGTGGCTCTCCGGCCCCGATGCGGGTGGGTGTTGGTGACGTCGGTTCAAGGAGACGTCGGTTGAAATAGAGTGACGGAGCCGCGAGATGGGAAGAGGCGCGAGATGGGGAGGGAGGAGGAGGAAGGAGAAGGAGGAGGACGACGCGTACACACACGTGAGGGCGTGCGAAAGGGAGAGCGGCCGCGAGAAAGGGAGAAAGTGAAGGCGGGTTAGGGAGGAGGAGGAGGGAGGGAGGGAGGGAGGGAGAGGGCGCAGGGGCGGCGGTGTAGAAGGGGAGCGGGACACGCGATTCTGCAGAGACACACACTCCTCTTTCAATTCTCCTCTCTCGTGTGCACAACCTTCTCTGACTGACTGCTGACTGATAAGAGCACGCGAAATTGTCTTAATTGGCGAGAGAGCCAATCTCGAGTGATCGAATGAGAAGAGGCTCTCTCTCGCGTCTCCGCTACCTGACTTCTACTACTATCACTGCTGCTGCTGCTGCTGCTGCTGCTGCTACTCGCCTTTCTTCTGGGCTGCTACTCGTCGTAGTAGGTCGCGTAGTAACCGCGACGCGCCAAGGATCCTATTGTTTTCTTTCGTTGGTTCGTACGGGCTCGATAGATCTCGATCCCCGGCTGTCTTTCGTTATCTGAAGCGTCATCGGCTCGTTGCTGGTCTTATCGATGGCTGAGCTTATTTAAAAAGAAACTTTCCCTCCCCCTCCTCCCCTTATCGGATCGAGAGGTGTTGTTAATGCGCGTAGATTGTTATCAACGCTTGATCGAAGGGATCGAGGGAAAGAAAAGGAGGGAAGGGTGGAGTCTCGCGAAAGAAATCTTTCCGTTGTTCGAACAGAAATAATTGTAAACTCGGATGAGTTAGTTACCTCTCGAGTAAGAAAGGAAACGAGGCATCTTCGAAAAGAGAAAGAGAGAGAGAGAGAATGGGGGATGGAAACACCGCTTAACGGAATATTCCTAGAAACGACGGATATGGAAACGGTCGATCCTCTGTGCTCCATGAGCCGTGCACGATCCCGCCAGGCGGAAGCAATCTTAAAAATTGCTCCCAGCGGCACCAAGCGAAGACCAAGACCCGAAGGTTTGAACCGGTTGCTTCGCATTGTCGAGCATTCAGGGATCTCGAGTTATACAAGCCGCGGTAGCACTACCCGCTCGTTGCTTTCCCGCTCAACCGTACTTCTTTGCATCCCCTCGGGATCCAAAGTGTAAGATCAACCTGACTGCCATTCTCGCTGCCGTTCCTGGCCTGCTACTCTAGGATACTACTCTTCCACCGTCGGGATCTCTCGCTTGCTCTGTTCAGCCAAAGGGTGAGGAGGAGAGGGAGAGGGAAAGATCGAGGAAAGAATGGAAAAATATTGCGAGCAAGTAGCAACCCGTCCTTTCTCCCTTCCCCACCTCGTCGCGTCAAGTCATTCCCGCGTTTTCCTCGCTCGACTTGTTCGTTCGTGGCGACGAAGAATGCGAGGCCGGCTTTCTTATTCGACGTCTTTCAGTGTTTCTTTTTTTTTTTTTTTTTTTTTGTTTCACCACCCATCCCCCTTTTTATTTTCTCTTATCCGTCGCGACGGTTCCGCGGTATCGCTCCGTTTTTTTCACGAATCGAGAGTAGAGTGGAAGGAGGACGTGAATGGAAAAAAAAAGAAAAAAGAAATACAATAACAACGTAACGTTGGAAGATAAGTCGTTAATAACGATTATATTTTTTTAAAACGAGGCTGTCGCAACAGTTTAATGAAAATTCGCTTATGCAAGCGAACGTTCTGAGATTATTCTATTTTCGGAAGAATTCTATATTCATCCCTGACATTTACTTTATTAACGGTCCACGGTTAAAAACTCGCGTTCCTTTGAAACATTTTCGATCCTGCCTGCCTGTTAGTTTTCCTATCGGAATTAATTGAACAAACTTCTTCTTAGAGATAGATATCCCGGGAGGGGAGAACGATGTAATAAAAGTATCAAAGGCGCCTCGCTTGTGTAACCACCGTCTTACCAGCCACCACACCTTTTTATTCACCCTTCTCGCTCGCGAAATAAAAAAAAAAAAAAAAAAAGAAAAGAAAAACGAACCAACGACATAAAAAAAAAAAGAAACTAACTCCGTCCGTCCTCGTTCAATTGAAAAAAATAATTATTTTCTTAATCAATGGCGGATTGAAGACGTCGCACAAAGGACCGGTTCAAAGTGGCGGCCTCGCCTCTGTGTCGTAAACCGTTTCCTTTCCCGAGTTTTCGGTGAGATCCATCGAAGCGAAGCCACCCCTTGGTGCCGCCCCTTCACGGTTTCTCCGCGCGAAAGCTTGGGTCACTATTACTATACAAATTACCCGCCAATTAGTGACTTGTGCTTGTTTAACTGCGTTAATTAATGAACGTAAAACGGCAAACTTCGCGTCGGGAGCGCAATTTTATTTTCTCTCTCTCTCTCTCTCTCTTTTTTTCCTTCTTTCCTCCTCCTCCTCCTTTGCGAGAAAAGGAGAGAGAAAACGAGCGCGTGTATCGCGCGATCCCGCGGCGTTTGTAAGTACACGGCCGCACTCGTTCATGCTTGTCTGTAAACGTCGGCGGTTGCCTCTGCGAGGGTGTCGAGGTCTTCTTGGACGATACAGTGTAACACGTTCTTAATAGTCTCTTTGAACCGCGTCGCTTGCCAGCCGACGAGGAGTTGTACACACCTCTTTGCGACTCTCTCTCTCTCTCTCCCTCCCTCCTTCCTCCTTCTTCGTCTTCTTCTGCGCCGCTTCCGCGTCAGACCACTTTCAATATCGACCCCCCCTTAATTAATTATCGGTAGTGCATTAGCATTCTACGTTACGCGAGTATCAACATGGCGCCCGCCAACTTTCGAAGAAAATATATTTTAAATCATCCCCTCCTCTTCCTCTTCCTCCTTCTTTTTAATTCGAAGCGAATTAATACGAGGATGTATCTTTGTTGGAGAAATGACGGATTTTGCGATGATTGTTAAGTTGTTAAATGTTTTAATAATTCTGTTGACAATGCTTTAAATTTGATAGCCAATTTTCTCTGGATATCTAGGTACTTGATAGAAAAATAATCTTAAAAGATGTTAAAAGATCAAAGCATTCCCGGATTTCAACAATTTTTCTATGGAATTTAAGGATTTAAAAGAATTGTAATTTTCAGCCCGTCGTTTATTATCTATCAAGATCGATTCTAAAATTATTGATCGGATGATTAATTTATCGTCACTTTTTCAGGGAGTTCTACTACATCCAAATGGAGAAATACGCGAGGCAAGCTGTTTCGGAAGGTGTGAAGAACGCGGATGACCTACGAGTTGGGGGTGACTCGGAAATCTATCGAGTTCTGAACCTTCATTACAACAGAAACAACCACATTGAGGTAAAGATCTTGAAGTATAATCCATCAATTATACTTCACTCGTCGAATCTTACGCGTATCTTAACAAATAACTCGCAAAATTATTTCAAGAAAAATAGGTTTAACCTTTCACCTATTTTCCCCTCCCTGATATTCTCAATTTAACAACGAAAATATTCCGACATTAAATACGCCCTTAAAATACCACTTCGCAAAGAAACAAAGAAACGATGCCGATCGTCAACCACCTGCGCACCCCATGATTCGCCAATCAAATTTCCGCGTCGGAATCGAGCTGTCAGAGTCGAAATTTCGATGGGAGAGAGAAAATTGGCCGGGAGTCGGAGACAGCCGCGCGACCGGCGCAATTATTCGGCGGTCGGCCATGACCGCGCCACCGTTACCTCGCCTTTCTCATCTCGCGGAACGCTTTTAAAACGAATTCGAGTTTGGTTTGTGTCCGTATGGAGCGGCGCGTGTTGCAAATCACTCGTATTCGTCTCTTACTTTCCCATTGTGGGGCGCAATTTACTTTCGCCACGGCGTAACGACCGTTGATTGTATTTGCAGCGGCGGCGGCGGCGGCAGGCGACGGGCGCGCACACGTAAAGCAGCTATTTAATATTATTTAACGAGTCTCCTGGTGAAACCTGGAGTCTCCATTCTTACGGGCCCAGGTCACAATTGCCGCCCGCTTGACGCGTAATTAATTACTCGTGTTCGTTAATAACCCAAACGTACTAATTATAAGTGGTAACTCTTGGCACGGCCGCTCGTTAAGCGATACACGCGCGTAACATCGCTTTAATACTTCGGATGACGCGGGTGAACTCCTTCGGTGAACCGTAATGAGCGGCGAGAAATTATCTTTTCCCCTTTCTCCTTTTCGCGCCGAACACACTCACAGATTTTTCTCATTAGCTTAAACTACTTGATTGATCCCTTGACAGGAATCTAATTTTATGCGCTTGCGCGTAATTTATTTCGCGTTCTATAATTAGGGAACGATTAGATTCTTATATACGTATATATACGTACGTTTTTCGTACGTGACTGGATAATAAAAATTCAATTTACTTTCAAATCAGAAGTTTTTCTCGAAATCGACTCAAACTCCTCGATGTACCATTAATAGGGATCGTTATATATCGATATCTTCTCATAGGTAGACGTATCTGTCTATGCGATTCATCGTAAAATTCGATTAAAATTGGAAAAACTTTAAACCGCTGTAACTTTCAAGTTAATGAGCTTTTTCGATTGGCCAAAGATCGTTGGAAGCGCGGGACCTTCCCCTTTAAAACGCTTTTTGAATTATCCCGATACGACTTCCGGTTCCCGAGATATCGTCGTGTAAAGAGAAGGGTAATTTTTAATCGTTTACTATCTTCGTCCTTGTCGTCTTATTCGGAAGTCTCGCTCGCGCCTCGTCTCGCTGACTTATCTCAAACGGCAGACGAGCGCCAGACGCGATTCCTAGAAAAACGTAGCACGCGATTCCTAGAAAAAAATATAGGTCGCGGTTTCATTCATTTTCCTCGTCGCCTCGTCTTAAGTATTACGAAAACTTTGAATCGCTATATCTCGGCCCCGGATCGAGATATCGGGATAAAACAAAAAGCGATTTCAACGGTATCGTTTCCTCTATTATCCGCGCAATTTTTGATCACCAAATTTTTAATCCCTTCTCACGAAAATTTGAATTTTCATTCGTTCACTTTACAAGAATACACATAATCTCTGTTGTGATACAACATTTTCTATGTAAGTATCCGCGTAATATATTTGAATACGTAATTTTTATCCGCATAAAAATCTGCGACGATATACAGATATAGATAAGTATAATAGGAAGTGGTCGACGGGAAAAATTGACAATGTTGGATGGGATTTACAGGTGCCGAGCAACTTCAGGTACGTCGTCGAGCAAACGTTAAAAGAATTTTTCAAGGCGATTCAAGGTGGCAAGGACACCGAGCAGAGCTGGAAAAAGTCCATCTACAAAGTGATCTCGAGGCTGGACGACCCGGTGCCGGAGTACTTCAAGACCCCGAACTTCCTGCAGCAGCTCGGTTAAATCAGGAGGTCGCGTGGCTCTTGCTCTTCGTGGTGCGCGGGCTCATCAGCGCTCGTCGGCTCCCGGTAATAACCAAGAAACCGAAAAAAGAGAGAGAGAGAGAGAGAGAAAAAGGAAGAAGTAATAATAATAATAACGATAGCGAATGAAGGAACGGTCAGCGAAAGAAGGATCGCATCCGCCAGGAGGTACACGTCCTTCGCGTAAAGCGCGTTCAGGTATCCTTAAACTAACATATCGCAGAACGAGCGTGAGAGAGAACGTGAGAGAGAGAGAGGGAGAGAGAGAAAGCGAGAGAGAGAGAGAGAGAGAAACAGAGAAAGAGAGAAAGCGAAAGAGAGAAAGAGAGAGAGAGAGACAACTGAGAGAAAGTTAGGGAGATTAGAGAAGAGGGAGGATTACACACACACACACACAGCGTAGTTCAAGGGAGGAACGAAACGACACGACGAAACGACGCGACGTACGGAGGCATCGATCATCATCAAATGGAACGATGAGGAGTGCCGACGAAGGATCAGGCTGTGACCTAATCACGAGACAACAAGTGTCCACAAGCGGGATAATGGGTGGATAATTTAATTCAAATAATAGCTTCGTGCCTTTATTAATAATACCCGATCGGGATTCTCGATCGGGACTCTCGAGTTACTAGCGAGGCCACGAACTGTCCACCCTATCCCCGCACGTGGACGAACACACGCCCGACAATTCGAGACGACAAGTCTTGAAAGGAGGAGGAGAAGAAGAAGAAGAAAAAGAAGAAGAAGAAGAAGAAGAAGGAGGAGGAGGAGGAGGAGAAGAAGAACGAGAACGAGGACGAAAGCGTGGTCAACGAACGGCAAGGAATTTTACACACAACACAAATATAAATAATACACACAGCTATATTCGAGCTATATATATATTGTCAACTATATATATTGTTTTCGATTTGTTGCGTTACGCGAGTTCACCGATTGAAAATCGCCTAATTTTTAAGTGGCATACACATACACGCGGTTTTCCCCCCTCCCCCCGATTTAGGGGGGAGAGCATTTTAATAGGGGAGCGTATAATAATAATAATAATTAATCCCGCGACGACGGGCGACGAGGGGGTGGCTTTCGTTCGAGCGAAACGTTGACGAGGTGTGCCTATATAACGAAAACGATATATTATATATATACATATATATATATTTGTCCATGTTTCTAGAAGAAGAGTGGAGAGACCGATCGATGATGATAATTATTATCAATAATAATGATGTATATGATGTGATGGGCGAGAGATCCGCTGGACGGATCCTCCGCAGCTTCCCGTTGAGAGGCAGAAGAGGAACCCTTCTCGTGGATCTTCCAAGAGGGGAACGGCTCGGAACGGACGGCGTCCATGTTGCCCCTTCGTTTCGAGCCGTTTTCTAACAACTAGCTAACGGAACAACGATGGCCAGTTTCACTCGGCATTCGTCGAACTGTGTGTGTGTACCTCGTCGCGGTCCTTTTTTTTTCTTTTCTTTTCTTTTTCATTTTTCATTCTTTGCGTACCAAAAAAAAAAAAAAAGAAAAAAAAAAGAAAAAGAAAAAGCGTACCTCGCGATTCGATCGAGCGCACCACCCTCCTTTGAACGTCGTCTCGGTGGCGATCATATATTCTATCGCGCGATCACTGCAACAACAACACGCTCACGGGCTCAGGTTGAGCCTGGATGATTTTGTTGTTTCGTGAACAAGATGTATCGTAGAATGGCGGTTCGTAAACGAATCGACGGGAACGAAACCCAACGTTTTCTTTTCTCTTGAATGGAAATTTTTTTTTTTTTTTTTTTTCTGATATTATTTCGCAAGCAAAAGTTAAACCACACCTGTGCGACGTGTCATCATCACGCGCACAGGTCGATCAGGATATATAAATCATTTTTCTCTTAAGTTGTACATATATACATATGTTTCTCTTCTCTTTTGTCTTAGCACCATGTCGAAGAACGCGTATTTCGAAATCTCGAATATGTTTTGATTCTATTCAACGATATTGAAATTCGAAACATCCGACGGTGAACATTCCTAGCGGCGATAGCTTCGTGAAAAAATTCCATGAAATTCGGACGAGCGTGACGCTGGAAACGCGATGGAACCCGGCGATGCTCTGACCGATGATCGCGAAGCGAACGTCGATTTAGCTTAGCAACAAAGAAAAAAAAAAAGAAAAGTAATAGTAATAATAATTCTCTGTCGTTGTATTTTCTCTCGGCTCGAAATTCGCTCGCCGACAGGGGAACGAAAACGGAAGAGATCGTAACGGAGAGAGACCGCGTTTCATTCGAAACGAGAAGAGCACGGTGCAAAAAAAAAATTCGTATTCGCGCGTAAATAAGATGAAAAGAAAAAAAAAGAAGAAAAAGAAAAAATTACGTAGAGATGTTTTTATGATTAACTGATTTAATTGATAGTATATAAACGAGGTTTAGGCTAGTCGCAGTGACAGGAGTACGAGTAACAGGGACGACAACAGGGAGGGGCGAACGAACGCGTAAAATGCACGAGATAATTTTAAACGAACTTAAACCGAGCACCGGCGATTTTTATTTTATTTCGACGGGAATGAATGAACAGTCTCGAAGAGATACTTTCATTAGAATTGGGAAAAGAATCGATATGACAAATTATTATATAATCATCGAGTAAAGAGGGAGAGGTGGGGAGATATATAAATTGATATGAATAAGATGAAAAGACTAAACACTTCAAAAATTAATAGAAAAAGAAGAAGAAGAAAAAAAAAGAACAATCCACGCCGGTGCGTAACTATTTAAAGTAGATTATATTTAAAAAAAAAAACATATATATATATATATATATACATACATATGAAAAATTGAATATAATATATACATATATATATATATATGTATAATTATATAAAATTACATGTATATATATTAGGCATATAAAAACAAAAGACGGATGTTGGCGCGATTAAAATTGCGTAAGGAATGTGTGACAGAGGGTTAGACACCCACGCCTCCCTTATTCCACTTGTACCCGACCTATTGCACACGACACTCGCGCGCGTGCTCATTCAAACACACACATACACACACACACACACACACAGCACATACTTTATACGATGTATTACACCCGTTTTCACACGTTGTACATTATCACGTACACGCATATGAACACAAGCAAATAGGGATTTGAATTCATTGCAGATATTTATGATATGTGTTCTCTTAATATGAACGTTTTCTTTTTTTTTTTCCACCCCCACTCCCACAACCGGTATATAAATGGTGATGTAGATAATTTACCGTGTAATGATTATTATAATTATACATATACGTCTCGAGTGGTAGCGAGCCCTTGTAAGTTAGTAACCTAATTACTTTTTCACCCTTACTACCACTATAATTATAGGTATTACGTGCACTATTATTATTGAAATTATTATTATTATTATTATTATTATTATTGATATTATTATTATATTATTATTATCAGTACTATTATTATTATTATGTTATGTATATTATATGACGATTTTGTTTAAATCATGATTATTATAGTGATTATCGGTAATCATTGATTCAATTTGTTTGGATTTATGTAATTAATGCCCTGTTTCAACGCGATGTTTTTCCTGTTCGTAATTCCCCCCGCCCCCTATTAATTGCGTTCATCATTTTTATTCTCCCGTTCTTTTGCCCGGAAAAGACGAAACAAACCCTCGTCTCCACGTCCTCCTCCTTTCTTATTCAATAATAATGTTTTCATTATTAGTTATTATTGTATTTAGTTATTGTATCACGACGATCATTATCCTTTATTATTATCATTATTATTACGATTATTATTATTATTATTATTATTATTATTATTATTATTATTATTATTATTATTATTATTATTATTATTATTACGATTAAGTACGAGTTACACAGTGTGTACATGGCAGAGAGGAAGAGAGGAAATAAAAAAGAAAGAAAGAAAGAAAGAAAGAAAGAAAGAAAGAAAGAAAGAAAGAGACACACGTACGTACACGTATACATTATACACACACGTTTCTGTAAGCGGTGAGTCTTAACCTAGTCACAAGTCACTAATGTTTTTAATTTTAATCGATCGATTTATTGATTATTATTTTATTTATTATTTACGAAGAATAAAAACGAACTCACATTGGACTCTAAGTTGTCTCCTTTTACTTTTTCTTTTCTTTTTTTAAACCGGGACGCCATTTTTATTTCGTTATTTCACGCGCTACCCCATTCCCTATACATAGATAGACAACCACCACCATTTCACCGTCACTTGAACAGATATCACCGTAATAGATTACGCGACCATACATCCTGTTCTCGCCAAAAAAGAAAAAAACAAAAAAAAAAAAAAAAAAAANAAAAAAAAAAAAAAAAAAAAAAAAAAAAAAACAAAAAAAAAAAGGAAAAGGAAAAAATTCAAATCCCTCACACGAAGAGAACCGAACAGATTCGAATGGAACACCCTTGCGAATCGTCTCGAGCTCAGAAACACATTCGACTGCCGCGTTCGACCCGGCCTACCTTACGATCCAAAAATTGCCGAAACGAGTCTGAAACGAGTCTCCCGTTTCGGAGCACGAACGCGGGCGACGCGTCTCAGCCGGAAATTTTCGACGGTTTCGAGTCGCGACGGAGACTCGAAAGAAGAAAAGATATTGAATAAGAAATAAGAAAGTAACAAGAAAGAAGAGAAAAAGGGTGGGAAGGGAGGGGAAAAAAGAAATATACTAAGTCTATTAATTGTAATTTAAATGAGGAAATATATAAAAAAAAATTACGGAAATTTTTCTAGACAGTGGCCTAAGATAAAATTAGCAATCTCCTTCGGCGGTGGCCTAAGATTTTTTTGGTCTAAAAAGAGAAAGATAAAAAAAAAAAAAAAAAGAAACAAAACGTTTACGTTCGGGTAAGGAAAGGAGGTATGGAAGAGTGCAAGGTTCGTTCCACGGGAGGGGGGAGGGGAGGGAGTTTTCGAAACGACGATTACGTACCTGCTGCAGTCGCGACGAATTTCGGGATCTCGTGATCCCTGCCAAGGATATTTCGATTTGGCACGCGTCGCCCTCATTCGTGCTCATCGTTCGGCGTTCAGTTCCTAAGCTACTCGCACGTTACGATCAGCGACGACAACATCATCATTCGCCAGGGGAAATATATAAGCGGTGAATCTCGAGGATGATTTTAATCTACCAATGCGCGAAGCGATCAACGCGGAGCGCGCGATAGTTGTAGTGGTATCCCGCTGCGCTGATCCAGCGCGTTTGCGCCTCAAATGAAAGAAAGAAAGAAAAAAAAAAAAGAACACATTTTTGCCGATCCGTTGAAAAATATATATCCGACATAAAAACTTTTCGTCGCGTTTCATCGTTAACGCTTACGTCTAATAACTTGGTTGTTTATAATAACAGGTACTAGAACACGCGAGATTGGAAATTGATGAGTGATGATCATCGGGCAAAACCGATAAATAATTAATTCGATTATAATTGTTAGGTGATCGAATTATTGCTATACGAATTATAATAATACATCGGATCGAGGGATGAGATGCACGAGATCTCTCGGTCTCTTTTTTAAATTTAAAGGAAAAAAAAGAAAAAGAAAAAAAAAAAAAAAGAAAAAAAGGATCCTGGAGATCGATTATTTTTTTACGACGTCTTTATTTGAAAATTTTTCTCAACGATTTTAACGAACGATTTCGTGGAGGCTTATTATATAGGGATCTCAATGAGGAACGTTATAACTCCATTTCGCAAAACGCATTCGTGGATTAAACTGAGCTCGCTACTACTTGCGTATTACTACAGCGCGTTACGCGTCAACGTCTTTCTCGAAAAAAAAAAAAAAAGAAAAAAGAAGAAGAAAACGGAGCATCCTACTCGTAATCATTTAATGAACATTTAACTGCCACGTATACACTCACGATTAACCAAAAAGGGAAAAAAAAAGAAAAAAAAAGCGAGAACCAAAGTTGAAAACATTTAATCTAATAATCAAACCCCGCGTAAAAAAAAAAGAGAGAGAGAGAGAGAGAGAGAGAAAAGCAAGCACCCTGATACTCTACCATTGTTGCGACAAAGAATAAGCCAGCCAACCGATAAACAGAAAGTAATAATCTGAGGGAAACAGGACATCACACCGACACGATCAATAGCATATTAACACAATTTGTTGAAACAGCAGTTAAAAAACCATACCCAAATGAAGCTTTCAAACGGCCGGGCGAAAGCTCGGCCATTCACACGCTTAGAAAACATGCCAACAGTTGACCGACAACAGTATATCGAAACCGGGACGAGATCCATTTCCAAAAAAGAAAAAAGAAAAAAGAAATGAAACAGAAAAATCCCGAGTCGTCCTTCTCATCGCAGCATACACAGCAGCAGGCTCGCCACGTCGTTCGTGGGCATTCTGAATAATATGAAAAAGAAAAAAAAAGAAGCAGATCGGAAAGAAAGATTGAAACAAAGCGATAAATCTCCGTTTAACCGAGGAAAGCACAACCGTCAAGAAGCCTAATTCTCTATCCTAAGCTAAGCTAATTTTCGATTTCTTTCTCCGTCGACCAAGGATCGAGGGGTCCCGGCGCGAAGGACGAACCGCCACGGATCAAACGCAAACGAATCGCGAACACGCGCTCAAAAAAAAAGAAAAGAGAACTTCGAAGACGAGAACACACAAGACGAGGGAGGGGAAAAAAAAAAAAAAAAAAAAGAAAGAGGAAAAGAACGGAGCCGAAACCCGCGTCCCTCTCGTCTCTCGTCGCGTCTTCCCCCCCGCTCGAACGATCGAGATCGCGAATCCTCTCGCGGTTCCAACACGATCGTTCGAGCGTGTGCGTGCGCGATTGCCCATGGAAGCTGTCCGAGAGAAGGGAAACGGAAGGGAAAATGAAAACGCGGGCTCGAGACTGGACAGAACAGAGAAAGGGATTCCCTGTGCCGACGAAACAATTCACGGAATAAGAGAGCCCGCGCGATTCCTGTTCGAGGTACGAATATGTGGATGACGAGACTGTGAGGAAATAAAAAAAAAAAAAGGAAAAAAAGAAAAAAATGAGAAGAAAATGAAGGAAGAATGAGGAAAATGGAGGGAAACGAACGAAAGCCGATCGACTCGCCGTTATTACGTTTTGTGGAGCGGGGCCGTAAGCACGGAGAACGAGTACACGGGACGGAACGAGAGGATTTTCAAGCACGAAGAGAAAGGGGAAATTCGCAAGAGATAGAGAGAAGGGAACGAGCGAATTGTTTTTAATAAATGAGATGAAGGAAGGAAGGAGAATAAAGAAAGAGAGAGAGAGAGAGAGAAAGTAGAGAGGGATGGAAAATGGAATAATAAGCATACGTACACATACCTAAACGCGTAAGTTTTAAGGAAACACGTCTAAGCAGAATTAAGTAATAGTATTTAACGTTAACACTTGCAAGCTATTAATTATTATATAAACGATTAAACTAAACGGTAATTAATGCGAGATAAAAAAAATAAAAAAACGTAAATATACTTAAGAACAAAAGCCGAGCGGAAGGTCGTATCACGCTGCAGAGGAAGAGAGGATTTTTGCGAATATCCCGCTTTTTGAAACGGGCGGGCGAAGCGAAAATAAAAAAAAAAAAAAATTGAAAAACAGATACACACACACACACTAATAAACTAATTATTATTATATGATTATATATTATTATTACGATTATTAACTATCGAGTTCGAGAATCGTCGTGATAACAGAAAAAAAAAAAATGGTGGAAAAAAAGTGTAAGAAATTAGAGAATAGCTGTGAGAGAGTGCGGGCTAAAAAAAAAGGAAGAAAAATCCGAGCGCAAGAGAGAGAGAGAGAGAGAGAGAGAATGAGCACAACGAGAACGTTGGATGTGCGCGTGCAAGAGAGATAGATACAGAGAGAAAGCGAAAGAACGAAAGAGATATGAACACCTCGGGAGAGAAAGAGAGAGAATGTGAAAGAACGACAGTGGAGGCGAGACAGTGAGAAAGAGAGAGAGAGAGAGAGAGAGAGAGAGAAAGGGAAATTGAATAACTTCGAAGTATGTTCATCGAGAATAATAATTCCTCAAAACTATTAGGAGCATAATTAGGGTATATTTATTATAACGAAATACGCGTTTTCGGTGATGTAAATGCAACGCACGCGACGCGTAGGGTGAAAAGTGTGCGAGCGAGAGAAAGGAGAATAATAAGGGAAGATATATATAAAAAAAAAAATCGTGTTTTTTTTTTCTTTTTTCTCCGTAAAGTCCGCGAACGGGTGCGGGTAAGCGCGCGCGATATTATGGGAAAAAAAAATATATATATATATATATATATATTAGTCTAGGAAGAGAAAAATTTCGTGTGCTTTTTTTTTTTTTTTTTCGAAAAGTTGCGTACGACTGAATAAAATTAGCGCGAGAGGGAGAGAACGTGGGGAAGAATACGGAGAGAGGGGGAGAGAGGTAGCGAGTGAAAACGCGGACAGAGTGATAGATTATTTAGAGACGCGAGTTGCACGAAGCGAGAAGCTAAGAGTTTTTTAAATGCGAGGGAGCGCGTGCGTAAGGAATCTAAAGAGAGGGGGAAAAAAGAAAATTTTAAAAAATGAAATAAATGAAGATGATTAAAGGGGAGAGAGAGAGAGAGAGAGAGAGGGAGAGAAAGAGAGAGAGAGAAAGAGAGAGAGAAAGAGAGAGAAAGAGAGAGAAAGAGAGAGAGAGAGAAAGCGAGAAATAAGAGGGGGAAAAGAGAAAAAAAATTACTGATTGTTGACACCGAGTGAGCAAACTTTCTGTGTGATAATCTCGTAGTACACGTAGCGCGTTAAGTCTACAATACGTTTCGGTAGGGGATTTTTAGGTGAGAGCGACTAAAACTTTTTTAAGAAAAAGATAAAAAAAGAAAAAAACATAAAAAAAGTCGGACGAAATGAGAAATTAACGCGAGGCGAAGGAGACGATAACGTCGAGACCTACGATCGGGAGAATTTCGAGAGGTGTTTGCTTCCTGAATTTTTGATGATTTTCTTATGAAAAAAAAAGAAAAAAAAAAAAGAAAAAAGAAAGAAAGAAAGAAAGAAAGAAAAATTCATCGGTGGATTTGGAAATTTACTTATCACCGATAACCTACATATCATCGCGTGTATCTTATTA